CAGGAGACCTCCAGGAGGCCCCAAGAAGCCCTTGCACACTTTCGTGAGGCCTCCAGGAGGCTCTCCAAGGAGGAGCCTCCGCCAAAAAAGCTGAGAAGATTGGGGAGTAATTCGCAGGGTATGGCTAACATGAGGAAGAGTAAGAGGTTACAGGAGACAATGATCATGAGTCGGCCTCCTAATGATCATGAGATGCTGATGCCGGAAAATGCGACAAGGAGCTATCGCTAAACCTTGAGTTTGTTTTCCTGCCCTTCCGCCTGCATGCCAAACTTCAAGGACCAGGGTGCATGGCGCGAAGCGCCAATGCAGTCTTGCAACGCACACGTATCTGCACACACATCCCTGGCTACGGTGCCTGGGACCCCGGCCTAGGCACCTCGACGGCGCATGGCCGCCCGGGGGCCCCCCGAGCCTCCCAAGACCGCCCCAGGACAGCCCCAAAACGCGACACGAGGGTCTCAAGAGGCTCTCAACACGGTCCAAGAGAGCTGCCCGTAACCGTTTTGAAGCCGTTCTTTCTCAAACAATTCGGCCGGAGGTGTCGCTTCAGAGCGCGCCCCGACTACGAACCGCATTGGTTCAGCATGGTGACAACATTAAGTGCGATCCAAAGCGTCGTGGAGGCATACGTCTCCAGCGTCGCACCAAGCATGTCGGCCCTTGGCTTCTTGACCCTGGTGCCGTGGAGCTCGCAGGAAAGGCCAGCCAACCTGCTTGCAACTGGGGAAGGTTGTGGAGAGGTGGGTTCGGAAAGCATCACTCGCATAGTGGAGCAGCACGAGGTCGGCTTCATCGTGTCCGTATACAGGACGACGAGGGAGAAAAGGGGCGCGTTACATCTCTTGGACTATCTGGGGACGGCGCACCCCGACGCGCTCGTCTTCTTGCTGCAGCTTCTAGAGGTTGTATCCCGAGAAGACCAAGGACTACATCAGTACACTGATGGCGCGACATGACGAGATCTACAGGTTTGGGGCGAAGCGCGTTCTGATGGAGCTTGGAAATGACCAGGAGGGGCTGCAACATAGGTTAAGTTTGGAATCCATAGGGAACGACGTCATCGAGCAGCGCATGCGGGCATATGATAATGACTTGAATCATGGGGAGCTCCTGACAACAAGCCAGTGCCAGTTCATCGAGGATGAGTTCCGCAGCCTCCTTTGGAAGAACATCCTGAATCTGGTGATGCCGCTTTCCCGACACTGTAGAAGCGTTTGCTGGAGTCTGGGAATCGGGTCGGGGATTTCCGGTTCGTGCGCCCGTATTTGAATTACCAGCATGTGTTGTTGGCGGTGAACGGGCAGTATGAGAACGTTGTGATCAAGGTGCACGAAAAGCGCAGCGTCACCGATGCCAACGAGGTGGACAACATATACAACGAGTTTTGTTTTTGCCTCACACCCTGGACCACCCACACATGATCCGTTGCGTAAGCATGTTGCAAAGCAAGCGTAATGCATATGTGGTTCTCCAGTTTGGTGGCGACATTTGCATGGAGCAAGTGTTGCCGACTCAAGCAGACCACCGCTTGTCCAGGGACGACGCCTTGAACTTGTAGTGCCCAGGTCGCGAGTGCTCTTTCCTACTGCCACGCCCAGGATGTCGTCCATGGGCAATTGTCTTTGAGGCACGTGGCAGTAGAGATAGCATGGAATCGGCACATTTGCCGCCTTGTGGACTTCAGTATGGCAGCCCACGTTCCAAATTCCAGCACAAGGGAGACCCTGTGCGGATCTCTGCCGTGCGTCGCTCCAGAGACGGCGCTGGAGGAGCCGTACTTGCCCAAGCCAGCAGATTGTTGGAGTATTGGGGTGTTGTTCCTGGAGACCGCTTGCGGGCATGGTTCGCTCGAATTGTCCGTCCGGTGGCGTCGTGGAGAGACCATCGCATATGCCGCACGGCGGATGCTCGAGTGTTTCTCCCAGCATGGTTGCCACTAGGAGGCGATGACGATTATGGGGAACGTGCACGACGACATAATACTGGCAACCTTGGAGTCGGTGTTGAAACCCGAGCCAGTTCGCAGAGCAAAGGCGTCCCACATTGTAGAAATGGTATCTGCCAGGAACAGGAGGTGAAATCGCAGAGTGGAGGCCAAGTTTGTTTTGATTTGAAGTTCGTTGCTTTTGAACAGTGGGCGCGCGTGCAGGATTGCATGCAGCTCACATTTTCTCACCTGCTGCTGGAAGTGACAGGTTTTCTGCGCGACGCCGATCCGCGAAGTATGCGCTGCTCGTGCGCTGAGTGTCCACGAGGCCAGGCAACCACTCAGGCGAGAGTCTCAATGTAATGAGGAGGTCCCTCAGCCCAGTGCTCGTAAGCGGCTGCCTACTCCCTCCTCCCTCCTCCTCCCCCTCCTCGGCCTCCTCCCCCTCCTCCCCCTCCTCCTCCTCGGCCTCCTCCTCCCCCTCCTCCCCCTCCTCCCCCCTCCTCCCCCTCCTCGGCCTCCTCCTCCCCCTCCTCTGGCGTCCGAGAGCGGGTGTCGACTGCAAGGTTGGCGGCCAACTGAGCTCGGCCACGCACAGGTCACACAGGGCATTTTTTTGTTTTAAGCCCTCGCGATGGCTTGGAGCGGACGCCCGAATTCCACGAGCCCGATCCCGATCTCAACCCTATTTTGGCGCTGGTCAGCCCCTGCTTGCGCCCCGCAGCAGAAGAACTGCGGGGCCGAACCAGCGCCATGGAGACTTCCTCCATCATGTGGAAAGCTGGGAAGCCCCCTCCCCGGAGGACGCGGAGGTGCTTCCTTTTTGGCGCAGGACGCCTAGGTGTGGTGCGCCCTTCGTGCGGCAGCCACCAAGGCAGTGGTCCGGGCGACCCGATTTAACACTCGGGCTGATGCCCGCGATGAAGTTTTTTATTTGCATGCTATCCGCTCGAAGTGGTCACGCATTGCTTAGTGCCCAGGGCCAAAAGAAGCTCGGGGCAATCAACGGCGTGCCCCCATTACCCCGCGCGCAGTTCCTCACAGACGTAGGCAGTCAAGGAGTGGTGCCTCGTCCGTGCGGCAGATGGCCCGCTCCAGTCAGCGCGGGGAGTGTTATTCGGCGGAGCAGCTCCAGTGATGAGTAGACGGGAGAGAGTGGGACGGACGCAGTTGGAGGGGAGTCCACGACGGGACGACTGCAGGTCTCGGCCTGGCGGAGCCCATCTGAGGCGGAGTGGGCGGCGGTCCGTCTGCAGATAGTTGCGCGGAGGAGCGACGTTTATTGTGGCAGGCCCCTGCGCTGCTGCAGCTTGCTTAAGAGGGTCTAGGCGACCCATCTCCGTCCCGATGCAACACACGGGCTGATGCCCGGGTTGAGAGTCTTGAAAGGAGTCCACGACGGGTCGACTGCAGGTCTCGGACTAGGTGAGCCCATCTCAGGCGGAGTGGACGGATGTCCTTCACCTCGTTCCCCCCCTCCTCTCGCCGTCCTCCTCCCCCTCCTCCTCCGCCGAGGAGGAGGAGGAGGAGGAGGAGGAGGAGGAGGAGGAGGAGGAGGACCGAGGAGGAGGAGGAGGAGGAGGAGGAGGAGGAGGACCGAGGAGGAGGAGGAGGAGGAGGATGAGGAGGAGGAGGAGGGAGGAGGAGGGAGAGGAGGAGGAGGAGGAGGAGGAGCAGGAGGAGGAGGAGGAGGAGGAAGAAGGAGGAGGAGAGGAGGAGGAGGGAGGAGGAGGAGGAGGAGGGAGGAGGAGGAGGAGGAGCAGGAGGAGCAGGACGAGGAGGAGGAGGAGGAGGAGGCGGCGGCGCCTCCCTCGCCGTCCTCCTCCTCCCTCTCGCGCGGGCCGGCGCTCCGCGCGCCCTCGCCCTCCTGCGCTTCGGCCTCGGCGCGCCGGCGCGGGAGGCTTTTTTGTTCGGCGGAGGCCGCGGCTCCTCGCCCCGCCAGAGGCGGGCGGCTCGGGTCAGGCAGTGGCGAAGCGTCCCGGCTCGCCTATAGCCCTACCCAAAACGTTCCCTCGAAACGTGTTTAGAACATTTCTTGTTGAGCTTGCTTTGCTTTCACACCTCGGGCTCTTTTTCTAAGCACTTTGTTTTTGTTCTTAGAACACTTTTGGGTTCTAGGAACATTTCGTGGTAGGACTACAGGAATGCCGGGACGGTCGGTCCCTGCTCAACTGGGGGGTGGTCGCCCTGGGCTGCTCTGCTCTGCCACCTGCCCCCTCGGCGAGGGGCAGGCGGGCCCCCAGCAAGGCTGGCCTCTCTCTTTTTCTTTCTCTCTCTCTCTCTCTTTCTTTATTTCTCTCTCTCTCTCTCTCTCTTTATTTTTTTTTTCTCTCTCTCTCTCTCTTTCTCTTTTTCTTTTTTTTTTTTTCTCTCTCTCTCTCTCTCTCTTTCTTTGTTCTCTCTCTCTCTCTCTATGTTTTGTGTGTTCTCTCTCTCTCTCCCTCCTACGCTCTGACGCATTCAGGTACGCCCTGATATTGAGGGTAGCGCTGTTGCCAGGTGCTCGATACCTGATGATGACCCCACTTCAGCCACGCACCCAGGGACAGCGAGTGACCGTTCGTCACCCCCCACTCTGATACATGTAAGTACACATGTATAGATATGAGCGTGTGTATACATCTGTGTCTTAATGAATCCAAATACACACACATATATATATATATATATATATATATATATATACACACACCAGGACTCCTGTGGGGACCCCGAGAGATGACTCTTTTTCCCCGCGTGACGGTCGTTTCCTGGGTCATCCCCCCTGGGTAGCGGTGACGATCGCACAATCCCCCCCCCAACATTCTGGTGGTCGCACGCATCATCATGGCGATCGCAGCGTACCCCCGACCCGACATGCCCCACCACGCCCGAGTGTTTCCGTTGCCCCTGACCCCAACGCCCCCCAGGTAACGAATTTTGCCGGAAACAACACAACAACATATTCGGACTCCTGATGTTTTCGCGACGCGAGGATGGTCAGGGTAAGAGTCAGTCGGAGATGAGGAGCACATGGCCCAGGCGGCGCGCGCGCGCACAAGCGAGCCCCGCCCTGACCCGGGAGTGCGAGGACAACAGCGTGGGCGTCGCCAACCTGGGAGACTCCGGCTTCATGCACCTGCGCAAGGCGGCGCCGCGGGGGCGGCGAGGAGCGAGGAGGAGGGGTCTCCGGCGGGGCGCTCGTTTCAGCACCCCTAAGGGGGAGCCGCCGAAGGTGCTTTCACGGCTCCGTTCGTCGCCGTTCTGTGGGGGTGTCTCTAGCGGTTTGCTAGTTTTGTGTTTTTTTTGCGTTGTGTCCCGGGTGGCTCTCCCCGTTGCGCACGGCGGTCAAAGAGGAACGACCAAGTGGTGCTGGCGCAGAGCTTGTGTCACCGTGGGATGTTGCTTTCTTTCTCCGTGGTGCTTTCCAATCTTGTCGTCGTCAGCGGGAGAGGGAACTTGTGAAGGTCCATTCTCCCGCGTGCGTTTTGGGCTGGGGAGGGAACTTGACAGAAAGGTTCACTCTCTAGCTGCGGGGGAGGGAACTTGAAAAAAGGTTCAATTTCCCGCTTGTGGTCGAACTGGAGAGGGAACTTGGAAAACAAAAGGTGCCTTTTCCAGGCAGGGACAGACATGGCTGCTCCTCCTCTTGCTCCTCCTGTTCCTCCTGCTCTTGTCCTGCGCAGGCGGAAAACCGGGGGGGGGTCACTACCGGTTCGAACCCCTCCCCCCCCCCCCCTCGAACTCGAAAACCTGGGGGGGTCACTACCGGTTCGAACCCCGCCCCCCCCCCTCGAAAACCGAGGGGGGGTGCGGACAGTGGTGGGGACGGTGGTGGTGGGGACAGTGGCGAGGGGACAGCGGGACAGTGGACAGTGGGACAGTGGTAGGGACGGTAGTGGTGGGGACAATGGTGAGGACAATGGTGGGAACAGTGGGGACAGTAGGACAGTGGTGGGGACGGTGGTTGTGGGGACAGTGGTGTGGGGACAGTGGGAATGTGGTGGAAACAGTAGGACAGTGGAGGGTACAGTGGTGGTGGGGACAGTGGTGAAGGCGGTGGCGAGGACGGCGGTGGGACAATGGGACAGAGGTACAGTGGGGACAGTGGTGGGGACAGTGGGGACAGTGGTGGGAACAGTGGGACAGCTCAGTGGTTCGAACCGGTAGTGACCCCCCCCTCCGGTTTTCGAGGGGGGGGGGGGGTTCGAACCGGTAGTGACCCCCCGGTTTTCGAGTTCGAGGGGGGGGGGGAGGGGTTAGGGGAGGGGAAGGGGGAGGGGTTCCAGCACGGGGGGGGAGGGATTTTCGGAGGGGGGGGGGGGGATCCCCGGGTTCCGGAGGAAAAGGGCGGCAATTTTCCACAGTAAAACGGCGATGGATCACGCTCTCTCTCATATACCAATCCCAAGTACAATGCTACCTTTCAAACAGGATGCACATATTCGGAGCCCCGCGCAGTGATTGATTACTTGGACGCCTCTTACTCCTCCTTCCTCTTCTTCTCCTCCCCTCCTCTTCATCCCCCCTCCTCCTGATACCTAGACTTACTCATACACAGACTTACTCATACACAGACTTACTCATACCCAGACCTGATCATATTTACTTACGCACACTCAGGCCTATTCGTATTCAGACCTACTCATATTCAGATTTACTCATTCTGAGACTCACTCATACCCAGACTTACTCATACTCAGACCTTCTCAGTGTCTGACTTACTGAACACAACAGATTCTGAGGATGTCTCAGGCGGGACGTTGGTTTCAGCACCCCTACGGGGAGCCGCCAAAGGGGTATGGCACGGTCCCGTTCGCGGCCGTTTTGTGGAGATGTCTCAAGCGGTTTGCTTGTGTTCTGCCCCAGCATCCTTCGTTGGCGAGGCGCTGGTCTGCAGCTGCCTAAGGGGATCCGCCAAGGGGTACGACACGGTCCCGTTCGCGGCCGTGTTGTGGGGATGTCTCAAGCGTTTTGCATGTTTTCTGTCACAACAGCCTTCGCATGGAGAGCAGATTGTGAGGATATCTCAGGCGGGGCGCTGGTTTCAGCTACCTAAAGGGAGCCGCCAAGGGTGTCTTCACGGCTCCGTTCGTCGCCGTTCTGTGGGGGTGTCTCTAGCGGTTGGCTAGTTTTGTGTTTTTTGCGTTGTGTCCCGGGTGGCTCTCCCCATTGCGTACGGCGGTCAAGGAGGAGTGACCAGGTGTTGTCGGCGCAGAGCTTGTGTCACCGTGGGATGTTGCTTTCTCTCTCCGTGGTGCGTTCCAATTTTGTCGTCGTCAGCGGGAGAGGGAACTTGAGAAGGTTCATTCTTCCGCGTGCGTTTGGGGCTGGGGAGGGAACTTGACAAAAAGGTTCACTCTCTAGCTGCGGGAAAGGGAACTTGAAAAAAGATTCAACTTCCCGCTTGTGGTCGAACTGGAGAGGGAACTTGGCAAAGGTTCACTCTCCAGGCGGGGGAAAGGGAACTTGAAAAGGTTCAGCTCCCCTCGCGCGGTCGGACAAAAGGGGGAACTTGCAAAGGTTCACCCTTCACTCGCGGCGGGAAAGGGAAGTTGCAGAGGTTAATTTCTTCGCATGCGATCAAACAGGAAAGGGAACTTGAAAAAAGTTCACACTCCAAGCGGGGGAGAGGGAACTTGAAAAGGTTCGCTCTCCCTCTTGTGGTCGGGCTGAAGGGGAGCAATGAAAAAGGTTCACCAATCAGCCGCGGGAAAGGGAACTTACAGAGGATCACTTTCTCGCTGACGTTCGAACTGGAGAGGGAACTTGCAAAAGGTTCCACTCTCCAGGCGGGGGAGAGGGAACTTGAAAAGGTTCGCTCTCCCTCTTGTGGTCGGACTGAAGGGGGAACTTGAAGAAAGGTTCACCCTTCAGCCGCGGGAGCGGAAATTTTTCAAATGTTCACTTTCTCGCCTGGGGAGGGAACTTGAAAAGGTTCTCTCCCCCTATGAGTAGGGCGACTGAGGGATGCGAGAGGAGGAGGAGGAGGAGGAGGAGGAGGGAGGAGCTTTGCTTCGTGTTTGATAGTAAGGGGGAACTAACGCAATGTTTTCTTTGGCGTTCCAGGGGCTGGGAAGACAATTTCCCCACCCGGGGCGGAACAGGACCTGATCCGTTGAAAGTTGGCGCGAATCAGTATAGTTTGCGATGCAAAATCGTCACGACACGCGCCAGAGGGCCCGGGGACCGTCACAATATTGTTATGGGTTTGTTTCTGGTGGCTCCGGGGGTTAGAGGGGACCTCCGGGACAGGGGGAACACGGAACGGATCCTATCTAAAGGTGTTCGGCCACTTCCGCCACCGTGCTTGGGTAATGGGCGGGGGAGGGAATTTGAAAAGGTTCACTCTCCCGCTTGCGGTCGAACTGGAGAGGAAACTTGGCAAAGTTTCACTCTCCAGGCGGGGGGGAGGGAACTTGAAATGGTTCACTCTTCCTCTTGTGGTCGGACTGAAAGGGGGAACATGAAAAAAGGTTCACCTTCAGCGGCGGGAAAGGGAAGTTGCAAAGGTTCACTTTCCCGCATGCGATCGAACAGGAGAGGTAACTTGAAAAAGTTTACTTTCCAGGCGGGGGAGAGGGAACTTGAAAAGGTTCACCCTTCGTATTTTGGTCGGACTGAAGGGGAACATGAAAAAGGTTCACCAATCAGCCGCGGGAAAGGGAACTTGCAGAGGATCACTTTCTCGCTGACGTTCGAACTGGAGAGGGAACTTGCAAAAGGTTCACTCTCCAGGCGGGGGAAAGGGAACTTGAAAAGGTTCGCTCTCCCTCTTGTGGTCGGACTGAAGGGGGAACTTGAAGAAAGGTTCACCCTTCAGCCGCGGGAGAGGAAATTTGCAAATGTTCACTTTCTCGCTGACGTCCGAACTCGAGAAGGAACTTGAAGAGGTTCTCTCCCCCTATGAGTAGGACGATTGAGGGATGCGTGAGGAGGAGGAGGGAGGAGCTTGGTAGTAATGGGAAACTAACGCAATTTTTCCATCTGGGACAGAACAGGATTTGAGTCGTTGAAAGTTGGTGCAAAACAATATAGTTTGCGATGTTAAATCTTCACGACACGCGACGGAGGGCCCCGGGACCGTCAAAATATTGTTTTGGGTTTGTTTCTGGCTGCTCCTGGGGCTCCGAGGGGACCTCCGGGACAGGGGGAACACGGAAGGTGCAGACGCAAGTGTCGCATATGCGCTAAGGATGTTGAGAGGGGGGAGAGGATCCAACACCTCAATCGATCGACCTCCAGATCCCACCCATTCCCGGGGAATTTCATTTCGGAGTTAACTAACGGGGCCCAGGGCGGCGCCTTGATCCACCCCTCTCCTAAGGATGAACTCCCCGTGGATTAACTCGGAGCTAATTCACGTCGCCCAGGGCGGCGCCCTGATCCACCCCTCCCCCGTGGATTAACTCCGGAGTTACTTCACGTCGCACAGGGCGGCGCCCTGATCCACCTCTCCCCCGTGCATGGATTAACTCCCGAGTTCACTCTTGAGGCCCAGGGCGGCGCCCTCATCCACCTCTGGATTCACTCCGGAGTTAGTTCACGGGGCCCAGGGCGGCGCCTTGATCCACCCCTCTCCCGTGGATCGCGGAGTTAATTCACGGGGCCCAGGGCGGCGCCCTGATCCACCCCTTCCCCGTGGACTACCTCCCACGTGGATTAACTCCGGAGTTAACTCACGGGGCCCAGGGCGACGTCCTGATCCAGCCCTCCCCCGTGGATTCATTCCGGAGTTAACTCACGGGGCCCAGGGCGGCGCCCTGATCTACCCCTCCCCCGTGGGTTAACTCCGGAGTTAACTCACGGGGCCCGGGGCGGCGCCCTGATCCACCCCTCCCCCATGGATTAACTCTGGAGGTAATTTTCGCCAGGGCGGCGCCCTGATCCACCCCTCCCCCGTGGATCAACTCCGGAGTTAACTCACGTCGCCCAGGACGGCGCTCTGATCCACCCCTTTCCCTGTGGATCGACTCCGGAGTTAATTCGTTTTCCAAAGTGGGTCCTGCTACCGGCCTTCCCGTGACTTACGTAACTCCGGAGCTTTTTTTTCCCATTGTGGATCGCCGTGCCCGCTTTCCCGCGGATTAGGACCAGAGTTCATTCTTTTATTTCCACCCCGATTCAGTCGCTTCCTCCTCCCTCCTCCTCCTCCTCCTCCTCCTCCTCCTCCTCCTCCTGTTCCTCCTCCTCCTATTCCTCCTCCTCCTCCTCCTCCTACTCCTACTCCTACTCCTACTCCTACTACTCCTACTCCTCCCCCTCCTCCTCCTCCTCCGCCGCCTCCTTTCCGCTCAGCGACCAGGCGGCGAACGGCTGGAAGGTCGTCAAGAAGTCCGAGGACGTCTTTCCAGCGCGCCTCTGCGCACGCGCGCTCGCACCTTCGAGAGCGAGGGCGGCTGGCGGCGGCCTGGGCGTCTGCGGTCGTCGCCAGGTCGTCCGACAGGAGGATGAGGAGCAGGAGGAGCAGGAGGGGAGGAATTATCATCGTTACGATTAATAGCAACACGTATTGTTTACATGATTGTGTTTACTATTTAGAAGTATATCATGTCCATGTTTGTGGTTGTTATTCGCGTTTGTTGTATCGAATCATGTGATATTCATATAGGTAGTTCTTACATGGTGTTTTACATATACTAATCATTTAGGAGGAGGAGTTGTAGGAGGAGGAGGAGGAGGAGGAGGAGGAGGAGGAGGAGTAGGAGGAGGAGGAGGAGGAGGAATAATAATAATAATACTAATAATAATACTACTAATAATACTAATAATATTATTATTAATAATAATATTATTAACAATACTACTAATACTAATAATACTAATAAAACTAATAATAATATTACTAATAATAATAATAGTCATAATAATAATAAAAATAATAATACTAATATTATGAGTAATACTATTAATAATAATAATAATAATAATAATACTAATAGTAATACTAATAATAATATTATTATTAGTAATAATAACAATAATACTACTAATACTAATAATAAGAAACATAATAATAATACGAAGAGTAATAAGAGGAGACGGAGGAGGAGGAGGAGGAGGAGGAGGAGGAGGAGGAGGAGGGAGGAGGAGGAGGAGGATGAGGAGGGGAGGAGAGGCGGAAGAAGGAGGAGGAGGAGGAGGGAGGAGGAGGCTGAGAAGAAGAAGAAGAGAAGAAGACGAATAAGAAGAGGAGGAGGAGGAGGAGGAGGGGAGGAGGAGGGGGAGGAGAAGGAGGAGAAGGAGGAGGAGGAGGAGGAGGAGGAGGAGGAGGCGGAGAGGAGGAGGAGGAGGGGGAGGGGAGGCGGAGTGGGCGGAGGCGGAGGAGGAGGCGGAGGAGGAAGGAGGAGGAGGAGGAGGAGGAGGAGAGGAGGAGAGGAAGAGGAGGCGGAGGAGGAGGAGGAGGGGGAGGGGGAGGCGGAGGCGGAGGGCCCCCCAGCGGAGGCGGAGGAGGAGGAGGAGGAGGGAGGAGGAGGGTGAGGCGGAGGAGAGGAGGAGGCGGAGGATGAGGAGGAAGAGGAGGCGGAGGAGGAGGAGGGGAGGAGGAGGAGGAGGAGGAGGAGGAGGAGGAGGAGGAGTAGGCAGGAGGAGGGAGTAGGAGGAGGAGGAGGAGGAATACAAAATAATGATAACATAAGAATAATCAAATAATATTAAGACGAAGAGTAATAAGAGGAGGAGGAGGAGGAGGCGGAGGGGGAGGAGTCGGAGAGAAGGAGGGGGATGAGAAGGAGGGAGAAGGAGAGGAGGAGGAGGAGGAGGAGGATGAGAAGAAATAAGAGAGAATAAGAAGAGGAGGAGGAGGAGGCGGGAGGAGAAGGATGAGAAGGAGGAGGAGAGAGGAGGGGGAGGGGGAGCGGAGGCGGAGGCGGAGGCGGAGGAGGAGGGCGGAGGAGGAGGAGGAGGAGGAGGAGAGAGGAGGAGGAGGAGGAGAGGAGGCGGAGGAGGAGGAGGAGGCGGAGGGAGGAGGAGGCGGAGGAGGAGGAGGGAGTAGGAGGAGGAGCAGGAGGAGGAGGAGGAGTGGAGGAGGAGGAGGCGGAGGAGAGGAGGAGCAGGAGGAGGAGGGGGAGGAGGAGGAGGAGGAGGAGGGGGAGGAGGAGGAGGAGGAGGACGAGGAGGAGGAGGACGAGGAGGAGGAGGAGCAGGAGGAGGAGCTTCCGCGATGCGTGTCAACCTCCTGCCAGAAATGGCTGGTGGGCAGTTTCTGGTTCCGGGCAGGGCAGGCCCCTGCCTCAACGGGCCTCACTGGGCCTCGGGAGGCCGTGCGGCTCCTCGCTTGTCCGTCCAGCGCCCCCGCCCTTTCCCTTAAGTCGGGCCTGTCCCTCTACAGGAGGATAGTCCAGGGACTAATTTTGGAGTATGTGTTGACCATTTGAGAGTATTTTTAAAAAGTATTTTTCAGTTTTCGTCGAACATCCCCCTGTAGGAGGACACGCGCGATTTGACCCTTCCCCCCGCCCACCCCCCTCCCGCCCCGGTCGCCGCCTCAGGAGCAGCAGCACAGCTGGAACTGCCCGTACCAGCTGACGAGACTTCCCCCGGCCCTGCTCAGCAGGCGGCGCCGCCCCTTCTTGCTGCAGGCAGGGGGGGAGGAACCTGGCATCTGACGGAGGGGTCCGCTGATTGACTAGGTCTGCTTTGCTCCCCCTCCTCCACAAATGTTTTGGCGACACAGCAACCGAACGCCAGAGATACGTCGCATCGTTCGGCGTATCGGGCCAAATCTGGCCTTCGGGACGTCAGGCACGTCTCAGGGTGAAGGCCGTCCCTGGGAAGCGTGTCGAGGGGTCCGACCGTCAGACTCGGACGACCAGCGAGTCGCAGGATCGAGCCCTCGTAGGTCTGGGAGGGTCTCAGTCAGTTCAAGGGATCAGGGATCTCTGGGACTTTGGATGACGTCCTACGTGGTGGAAAGGATGGTGGAGCAGACGGAGAAGGAAGAGCAGGAACAGCACAAGCTGAGCAAGACTAGTAGGAGGACGAGTGAAGGAAGGACCGCGTGCATGATGGGGAGGAGGACAGTGGGGAAGGATGTCGAGCGGGTGTGGGTCCGCCCCTCACCTTGTTGTTGTTTCTTCTCCTGGCGCCTGCCGTTTTCCGTTTGAGTGACCGTTCTTTTCCCTCGTTGTTCTTCCTTCGTCCGCCGTCGTATCCTCTTCTGCCTCCTCCTCCTCAGCATGCTCACGCTCCTCGGCCTAGTCCTGCTCATCCGCATCATCACGTGTTTCTCTTCCTTCTCCCGCTCCCGCTCCCCTTCTCCGTCCTCCCGGTTCTCTCCCTCCTCGCCTAGCCCAATTATCACATGCTCCTCCGCTTTCCTTCTTCTCCTCCTCCGCCTCCTCCTCCCTGTCCTCTTCTTCCTCCTCCTCCTCCTTACCTCCCCTCCGCGCCAGGTTCCCGAAGCTCTCTCTGGACAAGGCCGCGGATTGCGAGACCTACCTCTTCGACGTGTGCCAAGGTGCGCGCACGCCTCCACGCAGTCGCGGCATGCCGCAGCCCAGAGCAAATGCGTCAGAGAGGGGGAGAGCCTGTCTGAGCAGGAGGAAGAGAGGAGGAGAAGCTCCGGTCGAGTCCGAGGCCCAGCCCCAGTCCTCGAGAGTGTCGAAGGATGTGGTGCTGCGGTGGTGCTGCGGTGGTGCTGCGAGCGGGCGTCACTGTATTTCGACAAAGTTGGGCGTCGGATATAACTGCCTCCGCTGCGCGCAGTGCTCTTCCAGGGTCACGCGGGGAGGGTCGACGTGGGTATCCTTCGGGGAGCGAGAGAGAGAGAGAGAGAGAGAGCAAAAGAACGTTACATTCACCAATCGTTGCTGATGTTCCGTTCTCCGGAGAAAATGGCTTCTCAATCTTCGCTTAGGGCACCATGTTGTAATTCAGAGACCGTGTGGTTGTCCAATACATATGCTTACACATGTTCACCCTGTTTAAGAACGTCCGTAGCTAACGAGACTCCGCCGTGGGATTCTGGGATCCTGCCGCCGCGCCTCCAATTGCATGGCTTAGAATAGGGAGGAGACAAGGGATGACGAGCGAAGAGGAGGGAGGAGGAATCTTCGGTTTGAGAGGGAGAGGGGGAGAGAGAGAGAGAGAGAGATGACACACACTATAGCATACACGAGTTGTTGTTATACGCATGGGTGTATGTAAGTATATGTGCATGCATGTGTGTATGAATGTATGCACGTTGTATGCAGGTATGCATATTTATGGAGACAGACAGCGAGACAGCAAGCAAGGAGACATGTACAGAGAGAGCGAGAGAGAGAGAGAGAGAGAGACCAAACAATACACAGCTATCGCCTGATGCTTTGGAAGGCTTTGGGGAAGGATATGGCACGAGAGGGAGAGGATGGAACAGAAGCATTGGCGATGATGATGGATATGGCACGAGAGGGAGAGGATGGAACATAAGCATTGGCGACGATGATACTGATGATGCTGGTGATGATGATGACGAAGAAGAAGCGTTACTATTCATAATAGAACTGTTCGTAATACCTGCAATAATGATACTTACTGAGGATGATGATGAGGAGGAGGACAGGGCGAATCAAAAGGCAATGCTGAAGATGAGGGGGAGGAACAGCACGGGGACATACAATTATCAGGAAGAGCAACGGGCGGAGGAGCACGAGGCGTAGTAGTCGACAGAGTCGCAGTCAGGGTAAAGCTGCAGTTGTAGTTGTAGGGTGAATCAATGGGCCCTCGGCCCTTCCCGCCACTGTGCCTGGGCGGTGCGTCAGAGTCCGCAGGGATGCATCCTGGGTTATGATGTTCCAACTTAGTTTAGCCTTGATCACCAGAAATAGTTTCGAGCACCACCTGAACACATGTACCGAAACTCGAGGGTTTTCACGTGTCGGGCCCTGGGAGGCACTCGTCCGAAACTGTTTCGACACTATTTCGACACTCTTTCGACACTTTTCCGGGTGCTCGAACTTTTTTCTGGGAGCAAGCTGAATCTTGGGGTCTTTTCGGTGCGCTCTCGAGGGCAGTTTTTGGGCCTCTGGGGAGCCTATAGGGGACCACATGCGAAGCCTACCCCTGCCCCCCATGATTTCTGAGGGGGAGGGTGGGGTTCACTCCGCTCGAGAGCTCCCGAGCGAAGTGAACCCCACCTTGGGGCCCCTCTTGGGGCCGTCGAGGGCCCCTTTTAGGCCGTGATTGGGTCCTCTTGGAGGCCTCCCGGGCCGTCGTGTGCCGATCTTCTTGAGGCCTGTGGGGCCGCATTGGAGCGGGATGCTGAAAAAGCAATATTGCCTGCCGAATTCAAACCCAGGCGATCAAGGATTGTTTCCTTTTGGGCCTTCTTGGGAGGCCTCTTTGGGGTCTCTTGGGGCGTCGTCGGGGCGGTCATCTTGGGCGTCTTGGAGCGATCGTTCGGCGACTCGGGGCTGTCTTGGGCGCTCTTGGGTGCCTCTTGGGCTGGGGCCTTCTTCGCACGTCATTCGGCCGTTTTGGTCTCGAACCTGTCACGCGACAAGAGGCGACGGGTCCCGGGGGTGGCACGCCAGGAGCTCCGAGAAATTGTAGTCCGTGCCCGTCTTTGCGATCCAGACTTTTTCAGGACTGACGGCTGCAAGGGGCCTTAGGACACTCCTCCTCCTCCTCCTCCTCCTCCTCCTCCTCCTCCTCCTCCTCCTCCTCCTCCTCCTCCTCCTCCCCCCGCTCCTGGCCTCGAGGCCACTCTGTGCCACGGGGCCACGGATTTGTGCCACTTGCTAGACAGTCTCCCGCGGGCGCCACGCGTGGCGACGCCGTGGCACACACCCACCACACGCGGGGCGCCGCCCACGTGACTCCCGGTCGCCAACCAGGCAGACCATTGGCCCACTCGTCCAAATGCTAAGCAGACCCGCAGAAGTCCCGCGTCCTCGTCCTCCTTCTCCTCACAGTATCGTTTAACCGACCCCCATCCCCATCCCCACCCTCTTCGAGATCCCCACCAGATTACCACCCCAGTTGGGGATACACCTCTCGAAACCCGAATGGAACGACCTATATCCCCATCTAGGGGGGTAAATCGGACAGTGGGGCCTAGGCCACGCCGCTGGGGATGGGGATCGGTTAAACAATACTCATCATTCCCGTCGTGCTACTTCAAGTCGTTCTGGCGTGCATCGTTTCACGTCTCGCCCTCTTCGAGGAAGAGAAAACGCCATGAGCATAATTAAGCTTTTGGCGCTCCGCGCGGATTTCTTGGATCCGCGCTGCGCCCCCCGACGGCGCCTCCGGCGCCGCCCCTGGCGCGCTCCGCGCGCCAGGGAGGGGGGTCCAGCACAGATCCAAGAAATCCGCGCGGAGTGCCAACAGTTTATGTGTATGGCGTTTTTTTTCTTTTATGTTCAGCAGACGCGCGGGAGCCCCGAAGAAAAACAAGCAATGCTCGCAGAGTCAAGCTTGCTCAGCTGCTGACTCCTGCGCCTCGCAGCACGCATCAAGGGAGGAAAAAAACACCCAGACTGGACAATTGGCGTGAACTGAACGGCCCTGGGCGTTTACTAAACAGTCCTGCCCCGTTCGATTCCTTAGGCGGGGGCGTTTCGTAAACGGCTTCGCGTGTCGGGGTGGTTATTCTGGGGGTGGATGCTTTGCCCTCTAACGCAGGAACCCCGAAGAGAAACAAGCAGTGCTCGCAGAGCAAGGCTTGCCCAGTTGTTGGCTCCTGCGCCTCGCAGCCGCCGACTGGCCCCCGCCGGGGACGCCAGCCGATCATTTTGCGAACGAGCGGCAAGTCGTTCTGGCGTGCATCATTTCACGTCTCGCTCTCTCCCGTTCTTAAGGGTGCATGCCCCGGAGCGCTTTCTGACCGTGTGCCGTACTGGAGCACGTCACTTCGGACACGTCAGCAGTGAAACTTGTGAAACAGAGAGGGTAGGTCAGCAACATATGTACGATGATCATTGCCATCTCAACTCATCCGTCACTTGGTACTCATCCAGTCACTTTATGGATCCAGCGATAAGTCAACCAACCATAAGGTAAAATATTCGTGCCTCTGGAGCGCCCTCTCAGAGCGCTTTCTCACAAGGATCCCCCGACGAGTCCGGCCGTGGGGCTGGCCCCCAAGGAGGCCTGACCAGCTCGGACCAGCGGTTCCCCCCTCTCTTCCTCGTCGTCCTCAGCGTCCCCCCTCACTCCTCAGGCACCACGCTGCCCACTGATGCCCCACTGTGACATCCTTCTGCTAGGAGCTCCGATTGCATAATTTGACGGTCCCGAGGCATCTGGGAATAGAGGAGAAGCCTCTGGCAGCGCTCGGGGGGCCTCGCCTGTCCTGTCGCGCGCCCCTGTCCGCGTCGAGTCCGTGTCGAATCCATGTCGGGCTCGTCGCGTCCGCTCCTCAACGTCTCTCCCTCCCCCAGTTCTCCGGCAAGGCGACCTGATCCTCGTGTTCTCCGATGGCCTCCACGACAACCTCTTCGAGCGCGAGATCTTGGTGCGCCTCCCCTGGCCTGTCACAGAGCGTCGCCGCTGCTCGGGGGCCGGCGGAGGGTGAGGATGACGAGATGGAGAGAGCAGGGTGAGGAGGAGGAGAAGGAAAGGAGGAGGGAGGGAGGGAGGGAGGGAGGGAGGGAGGGAGAGGTGGAGGAGGAGGCGGAGGAGGAAAAGGAGGAAAAGGAGGAAAAGGAGGAGGAGGAGGAGGAGGAGGAGGAGGAGGAGTAGGAGGAGGAGGAGGAGAGTAGGAGGAGGAGAGAGAGGAGGAGGAGGGGGGGAGGAGGAGGAGGAGGAGGAGGAGGAGGAGGAGGAGGAGGAGGAGGAGGAGGAGGACCGAGGCGGAGCAAGGCCGTCGACGTGGTGATGCTTTACGGCTGGAGTTTTTTCCTCAACCTTGGCCTCTTTGAGCTTACTTGACCCCCAGCAACGTACCACATGCTCCGATGTAATCTGCGTCGGGGGGGCGTCACCCCGCCGACAGCCCCACATCGACCCTCGTCGCGGGCAGCCACGACGCGCCGAAGGCGCTCCGACCCCCGTCGCGGCGTCACGACGAGGCGAGATTGACCCCCGTCGGGGGGGTACCCCCCCGCGCTTGTTGAGAAACTCGGAGTAAGCGAAAGGAACTCAGGATGAACAAACTAGTCCCTTGGAAGGGGTTGAGTTTTTCAGGGTCGCGTAATGAAATCACGGGATGTGTGATAGTGTCGGAGAATCATGCGGGATGGGGTCGTAGCCGCCGGAGTTGGAGCGTAATGAAGTATTTGGTCGAGTGAGCACTATGTCAAATATACTGTCGAGTAGGAGGAAGGCCAGGGACGAAGTGATTGATAACCGATCTCTCGCTCTCTCTCTCTCTCTCTCTTTCTCTCTCAGTCTGTCTCTTCTCCCATCCTTCCGTCACCGCTGCTGCTGGCGTCAGTTTTTATCGCTTAGCAGGAGGCCTATGATGCGGAAGGTCGAACGTATGGGCGTTCCCCCAGAGAGCGGAACAGCTTGGGGTGCTGTTGCGGTAGGGGCTCCTCCCGCCCGATGGACCCCGTGACCAGCAAGTCGTCCAGCTCACTCAATGAGTAGCATTGAATTGAAGGTTCTGAAGAACTCGCTTTTACGCTCTCGATGGGCCAGCTTCTCAGGCCTCCAGATGCCTCCAGTCGGCCCCATGGGGGTTCCGGAAGGACAGGAGAGGGCCCCTAGAGAGCCCTCAAACCAAATACCAGGAGCCCGCCCTTCCCCCCACACGCCTCCAAGTGGCTGCCCGAGGCGCGCGCTCGGCCGAGTGTTCCGGAAGGTCTCTCCGGGAACACCAGCCCTAGGTTGACGACCAAGATGTTGATGATCATGTTGAGGACGAGGCGGAAGAGGAGGGGAATGGGTAAGACGATTGCAGTGGCGATGTGCCCGATTTGCGAAGCGGTGTTGATGATGATAATGTTGGGAGTCAGCATGCAGATGATGATTCGCAAGAGGATGGGGACCGGTATTATGTTGGCGATGCTGATGATGGTGATGATGCTGATAGTGATGATGATGCTGCTGATACTGATACTGATGATGCTGATGCTGATGATGGCGATGCTAATGATGAATGTGATCGTGATTGTGATGGCGATGGTTGTGGTGATGATGGTTGTGATACAGATGATGATGGTGCTTACGATGATGGTAATGATGGCGCGCGAGAGTATGACTAGACGGCATGGCTAGCAGCACTGAGCAAATGATGTTCCCCATGATGTCGTCGTTGTTGATGATCATGATGGTGGCTCTTATGATGGCTAATCTGACGGTGACGATGCGAATGGGGATGAGGGTGAGGGTTGGTGCGACTGCGCCACACGCTTGCGCATGATAGCATTTTGCAAGCTATTCCAGTGCCCCCCTGTCCCCTGCTAGAACCTGAGCGTGCGCGATGGTTCTATACATGTATGTACACATACACATATCTAGACCCCCGATATGGGTATGTGTATGTGTATATATATACACATACATACATATATATATATATATGTATATAGATCTTCGATGTCGGTACTCCTACAACCTCGAGTCTCGGCGGCGGCGACCGCGGCAGCGACCGACGCCGCGCCCGCGTCTGCAGTACATCGTGGACTGTGCGTTGTCCCCGACGTTCGCCGACCTCATGGCGGGCGGGGCCCCAGGGCGGCAGGCGCCAGGACGAGCCGTCGACGCCGTCGTCTGTCGACGTCGGCGACGTCGACGTCGCTGGTCATCCGTCCTCGTCGTCGCCGCCGCCATCGTCGTTGCCATCGTCCTCCCCCTCCTCGTCCCTCTTCCGTGTCCTCATCCCTCTTCCGTCCTCTCCTTTCTTCCAGCCTGGGGGCGTGTTTGTTCAGCGTGGCTTTTGTCCTGTCCCTTTCCTTCCCCCCCCTCTTTCCCTCCAGTTCGCCACCCCTCTCACTCTTCCTCCGATGCCTCCCTCATCCCCGCCCTTCTCGCCAGGCTCCTTCTGCTCCGCCCCGTCCTCTGCTCGCTCGTCTTCGGTTTCATGCTTTGGCTGATTGGGAATCATTCTCTTCGATTTGACCGGCTTGTTCATCGGCCGCGCCCCGGCGCTGGAAACGGCGCCTCGGCGCAGAGCAGCCAGGGATGCAAGCCTCGCCGCCTCGCGCGCGCCGTAGGAGCCCGTGCCGTTGCTGCGCTCGGGGTCCGCCCCGCCCTCTCCTTCCCCCCTCTCCCGTTGTCTCCCGCAAGGGGGCTGCTCCCACCCTCGCGGCGCAGGCGGCGGGGCGATTCTGGCGTGAGCCGCGCGTGCCAGCTGGGAGAGGAATTGCCATGCGCGTCGGGAGCTGTCTGAAGCGCGTGCCCTGGGCGCGTTCGGCAGTGCCGGCGCGGGGGGGGCGTTCTTGCGGCGGCCGCGGCATTTCTCGCTCGCTTCCGGAATGGGCGTTTACTGAACGGACATGACAATGGGCGGCAACCACCCGGACTGGACAATGGGCGTTTACTAAAGGGCCCTGGGCGTCCACTAAGCAGCCCTGCCCTGCTCGATTCCTTCTTCGGGCGCTTTTGCCAAACGGCCTCGCGTGTCGGGGTGGTTGTTCTCGGGGTGGATCTTCTGCCCTCGGATACAGTCGGCCCGGATTAGTAGGTCGGCCTTGCCAAATCAAGGGCACCTTTGTGTCTTGGGTCTCGCGCCCCATGCCTCCTTACTTTGCTGTGGCAATGTGGCCCTCGGAACCTCGGACGGGCCTTGTGTCCTCTCGCGTGTCCTGTCCAATCAAGTCCGACTGTAAGCGTTCTTGGTTGTCTTCCCAGCGCCTTAACTCTAGGCCTCCCAGATTGGGTCGGAGTAGATGGGGTCGGAGGATCGCGCCGCATCGCCTATGCACCGGCGATGCGGCTCGATGCGGAGCCCGATGTGCCCCGCGCCGACGACGCCGATGCATCGCCGACGTCGCCGATGCATCGCCGATCCATCGCCGATGCATCGGCGATGCATTGGCGATACATCGCCGATGCATTGGCGATGCGGCGCGATCCTTCGACCCTACTCGGACCCCACCTTGGAGGCCTCTATCAACAGCGTGCCCGTGGGCCAGCTGGCCGCCCCCCTGCGGTCGGCCGCAGGGCAAGCGCGCGCCCTGCCGCGCCGGCCTGCGCCCGTGGGCCCGACGCGGCCACGTCGAGCGCGGCGCGCGCTCGGCCCTCGGGGCCGGCCCAGTCGAAGTCTGCGTCTCGGGGGCCCCCAAGCGGGTTGTGGTGACCACACCGTGTGGTGACCACACCGTTAGGGTCCCTCCCCTCTCCCCTCCTCCTCCTCCTCCTCCTCCTCCTCCTCCTCCTCCTCCTCCTCCTCCTCCTCCTCCTCCCCCTCCTCTTCACACGAAGGAGGACGTCTACGCCCTCCCCGTCACTGGCTTCGCCTGCGGCTTCGGTTTGCTCTCCTACCTCATGTCCGGACGCCCAAAATGGGTACGGAAAGAATGGGTACAATGTTCAACAGCAGTTCCCGCTCACTTTGAACAGGACTCGCTGTCGGTGTCGCCGCGGCCCCTGTCCATTTGAGACAGGAGGCCGCCTGCCCAACAGCGGCCGCTGTTGGTTTGGAACAATATTGGTTGTTGGGCATTGTACCCATTGTTTCCGCACCCATTTCGGGCGTCCAAATGCCTTCGGGGCCGGCCCGGTCGAGGTCTGCGTCTCGGGGGCCCCCAGCCGGGTTCGGTGACCGCACCGTGTGGTGAGTCGGTGGGGATCCTCGGAGGTTGATGGACCTCCTACCCTGACGCGTCGATTTTAAGGAATTGGCCGTTTTCGGTTCGCGAGATGGCGTCGCGGCCGTCATTTTTGCGGGTCCAGGTCCGTCGGTTTCGGTCCCAGGCCGTTTTCATTAAGGGGATGTTTGCTAAAGGGAGGGTTGTCCACCGCCGATCGGTGGGGATTCGGGGTCAGCGCGCGGTTTTGGGACCCGGCTCGTCTTCCGAGGACGTCTCGGGCGACTGGGGCATCCGAGGTCCCAAAACCGCGCGCTGATGGACCGTGCGGTGAGGTCTTGGGGGATTTCGAGGTCACCGCACGGTCTGTCACCGCACCGTTTCGGGACTCCACAGTCGCCGCAGGCGTCGTCCTGTGTGGGGGGCAAAGCGTCGCCTGCCCAACAGCGGCCGCCGTCGGCGTTGTACCATCTCAGAGGAGGAAAGGTACCCATACCTCTACTCTTCGCCCGTTTTCCCATTTTTGGGCCTCCTGGGAGGCCCTCGTCGCCACCGCTGGATTCGCTTCGAAATTCTGGTCCGAATGCACCCCGAGAGAGGTCCAGAGAGTAACGGTATCGGTACTTTCTGTTTTCCCCAATATCCTCATTCATTGTTTTGCCGATCGGCGCGGGCCGTCGCACCTCTTCTCCCCCCTGATATTGGCTGTGGATTGGCGCCTGTTTCGAGCAGGCGGAGTCTCTCCCCCACAGGACGCACTGTTTCAGACAGTCGCGTTAAGCAGAGGTCTGGAGCCAGACCCGCTCCCATCCGCCCTTTCCGCCCAATGTCGAAGCGCCGAATATCGAAAAAACAAACACGCCGTAAACATAAACTTGTTGCGCTCCGCGTGGATTTCTTGGATCCGCGCTGGACCCCCCGTCGGCGCCTCCGGCGCCGCCCCCGGCGCGCTCCGCTCGCCAGGGAGGGTTCCAGCGCAGATCCAAGAAATTCGCGCGGAGCGCGAAGAGCTTGTGCTCATGGAGTTTTGTTCTTCTTCTAGAGTGCACGTTTGTTGCTGGCTCCTCGCCCTCGAAGAAGAAAAGACGCCATAAGCACAAACTTTTGGCCTTCCGCGCTGATTTCTTGGATCACGACTCGGAGGAGCCTCCGAACCACGTCTCGTCTCCACACCTCCGCCCACATACCTGCCAGGTCACCTGACTTTGGCGCGAGCTGACCTCGCTTCGCGCGTCGCGTTCTTGGCCAGAAACGCTGCCCTTCCTCAAGCAGACTGCGCGAGGGCGCGGCGGCGTTGAAGACCATCCTGCGTCGCGCATTGCGCGGCCGCGGCGAGCGCGGTGAGGCGACCTGGGCCTCCGAGCCAAGCGGCCTCATTTAATTTTCATATCAAATTCGTCCTTCGCACTGCGTCTACCTTTCTGTCACTTCCCCCTCCCTTCGGAGTTTGATCGACCTCCTACCCTGACACGTTGATTAGCGAATTGGCCGTTTTCTGCTTGTCCACCGCCGATCCCTCCTCCCCTCCTCCTGCGGACAAGACCTTTGGTCATATCCACTGCGGCATGGTTGCCTGGGCTCCCTTCAGGGATCCCGCGGCGCTCTGGACCTGATAAGAGTCTTGCCCCTAGACTTAAGTCGGGATTGTCCCGCTCCAGCAGGATTATTCCCAACTGGTCAAACAACACTCTGGGGGAGATTGTTTAAAGTGTTCGCGTTGACCATGTGGGTTATGTTTGATGTTTTATCTTTCATCCACAATCCCCCTGCAGGGGGACGTGCCCGACCTGACCCTGAACGCTCGATTTCTATACACGTCCAGTGCGCCTCGGCCTTGCGGCGCCCCTTCCAAGAAGGTCCAAGACGCACTGGTTATGGATGAAAACGTTGCCTGCATCTCCTGCCCCTCACTCACCGCTTCGCCCTCCCCCCCCCTCCCGGCGCGGGCCCCGCCCGCGCGGGGGCAGGGGCTGCGGGACTACGCCACGGACGCGGACCGCATCGCCAGGCCACCCCCTCTCGGGGTGGGGTGGTGTGTTCGTGGGTGAGGCAGACAGGCCCCTCCAGGGTGGCTCTTCCTCCGAGTTCAGAGGATAGCAGGGGTGATGACACATTCCAGAGGGCTGAAGGAAGAGCAGAGGTGACAGGATATGGAGGAGGAGAGGCTGAGTGTGGAGGAGGAGGGGAGGGACACAGGGTGCATGGGACAGGAGGAAGCTGATGTTTTTCTCTGTCTCCCACCCCAGTCGTTTTGCAATGGAGGGTCCCAGGACCCAGAGGAGGAGGAGGAGGGAAAGCGGTCGGGGCGGGGATCGGCTTGCATTTGTTTGTTTTGTCTTCCTCCGCTTCCTTCTTCTTCTCCTTCTCCTCCTCCTCCTCCTTCTCCTCCTCCCCCTTCTCCTCCTCCTCCTCCTCCTCCTCCTCCTCCTCCTCCTCCTCCTCCTCCTCCCCTCTTCCATCCTCCTGTCATCCGGCCTGCTGCTGCTGCTGCCTCCTTGTTTTCCTCTGGCCTTCCCCTCCTGTTCAGTGCTCCTTCTGGACACTGGCTCTGTTTCTCTCTGGCGCGTGAAGGTCGTTGCTCGCGGCACCCTCCCCACCCTGGATGACGGTACACGCCAGCCGTTGAAAGCAGGCATTTTTGGTCTCCCTCCCCCCACCCCTCCTTTCCTCTCTGGCTCCGCCCCTGGTGCGCTCCGCAAGCCAGAGAGATGGATGCAACGCCGATTCAAGCAGTCCGCGCGGACCTCCAACGGATTGTGTGAGTGCGTGTTTGATTCAAGGGAGCCCTCGAGAGCGCACAGCTGTTCGCGCTGCGCACCTCGAGGGTGCGGCGCCGCTTCCTCCTCGTCCTCCTCCTTTCCGAGAGCGCGACGTTTGCGCGTCACGTCGCGCGAAGTGCGAGATTAGGCGCACCTGTTGATGTCGTGCAGTGGAGACCCATGCCAAGACACACCCTGCTTGCCTCCAG